TCAATATGAACGTTATGGATGGATTCAAACCATATTTTTAAAAATGTGGTATAATTTATAACGTCTCTACCCATATTAAGATTTCGATTTCAAATACAAGTTCGCGATATCAGCCCAATCGAACATAGCATACTATACATATATGTTAGAGGAAGAAATTTACTAAAATGTGGGACACTCTTTCTCGTTACAAGTGGCGGCAATTCGCTGTATTACTTTCTCGCCTCTGCTTACGTTGTAGAGAAAGAGTTGTAATGTTGTGGGATAAAACTGCGCATACTCGACAGAAAACCCCTTTTTGCCGAGCCCTGGTAACGAAAAAATAGTGAATAGTTTCTTGTGTAAAATTTATTATTTAAAAAAAAGCAACATAAAATAAAATAAATATTTGATGAATTAGAAAGCTTTGATGATTTTTTTTCATCTCTTTTCAATACGAGTAGATAGATAGATACAGCAAAACGGAAAGAAACGTGATGGAGCGAAATTCCGAGTTATTCAGAAGTTACTTCGAAGTTATGCCGGAGTTAAACCTGGGTTAACGGCCGATTAAGTTTACTGAGGTGTTTGGGATACTTCACACGACGCCACTTCATATTTATACATTTTTCCCAATACAATAAATACATGCGTATCAACCGCTGAATGTCGTCTGTCTATCATCTAATCAAATCGAGTCTCACTCAAATAAATAAATAATATCAATCAAATCGAGTCTCAACTCAAAGTTGAGGGCGTTCACGGCGACCAGGGTAGTTACACCGGGCAGTGCGCGGCACCCAGGGGGTGCGAGGAGGTGGCGGATTTCTTTCTCTAGACCGCTCCTGCCCAGTACGAGGCTGGTTGTCGGCGTCGTCGCAATGGTCGGGCGATGAGGAAACCATGCGGCGCAAGCAGGTAGCAAAGCAGTGTGAAAGGGACAACGCGGCACGTGGCGGCCAGTGCAACTACACGAGCAATACCAGCAATACAGAAATGCCTGCGAGCGGTACCTTGCTTCTCTGATTCCCTGCTTACTGAGTAGTCGGGGAATGAACACCCGCAACGAACGTGTCGCTACAGCCTGTTTTCACATTCTTTTAGTTTATAAAGAATGATTTTGTAGAGATCTGAAATGGAAACTACAACAAAAAGGCACAAACTTCCTCTTACTAGTTAGTTTCCCATACTTCTCGTTTTTTTCAGGAATCTGTTTTTTTCTAACTATTTTCCCAGCTGCTAAATTCCTCCCAGGTCCACCGCGGAATCCACTTCCGGACAATTGAGCTATTCTCTAATTACATTTGAAAACTTTAGAAAAAGTAGAACGGTTTTTGCAATTTTCAGTTTTACATATTTAATTTCAATTTTGTGACACATTCAACATTGAATGTGTAAATCAGTAGCGTAATGAAATGAGTGCAGCCCACCCGCAAATTTTTATCCAGCCTCCCGTTATGATACTGAATAGCAAACACAAGTACGTGTTAGTATCTGAAATAATAAAAATATCCCCTAAAATTAGACCCTCTTTTACCACGTGTTAGGTCACTGTGAGTGATCACATTTATTAATGATCACGTTCATTATGATTGATTGATTTTCACAATTGAAAATATTTTCAAAAACTTTATACATCCACAGGTGTTAAACCAATGAAACAGCTAATATTTAGAGAAGTCTAGTGCAATCCACAGCTATCTCATAGTATCCTTTTATCTATTCTTTCAATGTTCCATTTTCTTAATGACATGTATCCACTACATCTCTGATTATTTGCTTAAGCTACATAACAGAATTTACATTAAATTCTTAACCCCAGACATTTTGCATAATTGAGCAAAGATTCATGATCATTAAATGTATTGGATATAGACAATTTTGTAATACAGTTAAATACTTAAGAGCAGTCTAACTTTTAACCGACTTTTTTTTCTTTGGTTGCAATTGGATTGTTGAGAATAATTAGTCTAAAGATCAATGACTGTAAAACCAATGTTCAGAAATTACGATTATTTCACATGAAATAAGTAAAGAATTAACTTCAAATTTCACCATATTTAAATGTTCATTAAATTTTAAATACCAATTTTTTCTGTTGTAGAAAATGTTGAGTTACAGTCAGTTAAAAATGTTATGATTGCAAACTAAAATATCTTTACTCCAATTCATGCAGAACATTTTTGTTTTGAGGAAATTCAAGACACTTTAAAGGGAAATAAGATAATGCATGCAGAGTGAGTTAATATGACACAACTAAATCTTCAAGTGACTATATTTCATGTGAGTAAAATAATATTTCAACAATTATAGTTTTATAATAATATTATTATCATCTTCACTGACAAGAGAAAATATACACTGTACATTATGGATAATTTTCAAAAATCCATTGCTGTTAATAAAAGCTGCTTTTACATTTGTATATAAAACATACCAATAAAAGTAATATTGATGATCAGTAAATAGTGACTTACATCACATGAAATATTAACTCACAATCAACTGATATTTCCCTATTGGTATGTCATGTTTATATCTCTGATAGATTTTAATAATTGAATAATATATATACATACATCAGGAAAGATAATACAAAGAGGAACTGGAGGATTACAACACTATTTACAAACTTTTAACAATAAAGGTTGCTTGAATTTCATTAGCATTACTTATCACAATATTGTATGACTTGGAAGATTGAAGAAATGAGTGAGATATAAGAAGGAAACCATGTAAATTTAGTATCTCTTAAACTTCTGAATATAATTTAGTACATCTTATGTGTTTCTTCATTAATCAATTATTAATATATTATTTTTCAATTTTATGTAAAACCAATTAAATGATTTATATATCTGAATCAAAATAATTTGATTGTCAAAATAAGAAATGACAAATTAAGAAGAACATTGGAATTTGTTTATGATGGGTGTGACACAAAAATAATTCTTCCCCTTCAAAATGTAAATAGTAGCCTGAATAACTAAAGCACAAATGAAATCAATCTTTAAAAAATCAAAACAACCTACATTATTTGAACAAATGTTAAAATCATTGAGTTTACAAACAAATAACTTAAAAGTGTACTTGAAAAAAAGCATTTTCATATTATTTATGAAATATACACAGGACAAATCATGGAGAACGTACTGTTTCTTTTAAATTATATAATATATTAATGAAATGTAAAATTATTTAATTTGTATTATACAGGGAAATGTGCAGAGAATAAGCAACTGTCATCTGAAAGTGATAAAATGTTCACATTTAATGTACAGCATGCCTTACACAATTAACATATTTTTCCATCAGGGTATAAAGAGATATCTTTCTACATATCATATTTGGTTTCTTAGGAATGTACCCTGAGCATACAGAACACACAGTATATCCTCATTCATTCAATATTTCATCTGTTCACTTGCAGATCACTGATAAAAATATCTGTTGATTGCTATAATAAAAAAAATACATAAATATGTACAAGCAAAGTAACATATCTGCAATCAGATCTCTCACATTCAAAATGCAAAAATCAAATGAGCTACTAATAATCTTCTGTTAATAAACACATTTACAAACAATCTTCAAAAGTATATAAATTGATTGTGTATTATATCTTACAATGACTACAAACAGTTTACCATACACTTTACTAAAGCAATAAAGTGAAATCTATTCATTCAAAAGCACTCCATTTATTTTATACCATGTATTTTCAACAGATTTGTACACCATTCATCACAAAAACTACAGCATTTGTTATTTTAAATTCTTTTTTACAATAAAGCCAGTCCCAAAGACTGCAATTTTCTACATCTTCATACATTTTAACAATATTTAACATGATTTATATGAAACTGTTATTACTATAGAGATGGTTCATGAGGCACTACTTAAGTATTACATAATCCTCTTGTGGTACTGACACAAACAGGTCTCCATTCTTAAAAAAATTGTTCGGCTTTTTCATGTCACAATTTGTATTGATTCTGAATTGATACAACTTCCAGACAGCAGTATCAATCTCATCTAGGGAATACTGGTTTGGACTACTGATGCAATCAGAGAAATTTATGGTAGGTAATTAAGGTTTACATGCTCAAAATGTATTCATACAAAATATGTTTTATCATTTGAAAGTAACTAACAAAAGTGGAAGCACCCTTTAATAGTTAACAATGGGGAAAAGAAAAATTACTATTACTATGTTCCATAGACATTTAGCAGCAGCATGTAATATATTCATCAGGTATGTGCACATGACTAACATCTCTATCATTTCATTCACCTCATTGTGAAATGATAACTTAACATTAAAACAATATTTTCTGAAAGGTAGACATCATTGCGTAACATTATTTTTTTCTAATATAGATACTTGAAAATTCTCAAATGGGAATAAAACTTCACCCACAAATAGAAATAAGAAATATTGATACTATCTCATTTTCTGCAATCAACTGAAGTTGCAATTTTTTAAGGTGATGAGTCAGGGCTGCATTAATATTTCAAGGATCAAAGCTTTGTCACAGAATGGGGCCTATTAAAAATTCAAAATATGTTGTATTACCAATTTTCAGCAAGAAAAAAAAATCACATCATCAATTTGGTATCAATTGTTTTTCTGTTTAGAAATATGAGAACTGATTTAGAGTCTGAAATTGATTTATTCAATTCTTATTAAGTAGTTGCAAAATTGAAAATTTTATTTCAAGAATATTTTCTATCATGTCTTCTGTCATTGGCAATCAAAATATCATATATTATATATTCAGTGTTAAGCTTCTAAATATTAATTTTATTTTGATTCATTCTGTGTAATGATTTGTTTAAATATTAAATTATGTGAAATCTGTCACAATTATTAAAATATCTTTCAAATGTATTGTCTACATTTTATAATCTAAATTAAATAAATGTATTACATTTATTGTTTCATTAATAAATGTATTAAGCATTTATTATTTTTATTATTATTATTATTATTATTATTATTATTATTATTATTATTATTATTATTATTATTATTAGTTATTATAACATACTTTTTATATATTTATGCCTTGATACAAAAGTTTATTAAAAAAATAAAGGAGCTAAGACCGCTTTTGCATTAATTCAGCCCTGAGCTTACAATATTATTTTAAAAGACACTTTCAGATAATGCCATATACTGAATTCAAATACGAATGAATGAATAGTACATACTATTAAATGAATATGTATTGCTACATTAAAAAGATCCTTTATGCACTCAAGTAAATTTCAATTTTTACATTCTAAAGCTGTAAATTTACTTAATACAAAAACAAAATTGAATGAATGTTTCTAGTTACAAACAGATAAATGAGTGACCTCTTGTTTGTAACATGTTGCAAGTGGTTTTGTCCATTAGGTTCAAGTTTTCAAATGTTTGTTTTCTATAGTTATCTTTTGATTTCATGCACGATTTGAATATTTTTTAGATATGGACAGAAAAAATGTGGATATGTTCTTATGTATGTCTCCTTCAGAACATAGATTAAAAACAATTAGCAGTTATAACAGCTTAAAATTTCATTTTTTTAGTTATGTTTTAAGTAATTACATTTTAAAGCAATTTTGCCAATTCTTCAACAAACTCTCTTTTAATTCAAAATGTACACATTTATACAGTAATGTATATATTTTCTGTAGCTATTTGATTTTCTTTATGGAGTGTACTTACATATAATTTATTTTCTACTCAGAGTTCACAGTCTTATTCCTTCAAGAATTTGTGTAGGGTCTACTGCATCAATTACTTGCACTTTCTGAGGCAAAGAAAGTGTGAGCAGTAAAAGTTACTTTTAAAATCTATTCAACTGATATAAAATCAATAGTTCATGAATGTTGAAACAGTACTGCATGTTTATTTGAGCATACATAGTTTTTAAACTAAAAGAATAAGTAACCTGTTAGTTGTTGTTTCTGTATATGTTATCTGCAGAACTTACAAGTGATGTTTTCAAGCTTATTGTGCTAATAATCAGTGCATGTTGTAATACTGTATGGTAGACGGTAATGAAGCACAGGCTTGGCTTTTTCTCAGTGAGCAGTAAATTCAACCGCACAATTCCTCCTGAGATTATGTCAGTACACAGGAGTCTTATTTGCTTCTTCTTATACTCTCCTTGTTTTATGGTGTTTTTGAGCTAAGAAATGCAGGATCCACTGATGCTACTTTTGCTGTCAAAAAAGCATGCATACAGAAGAGTAGACTTTGCAGGTTTGCAGTTTCCAGTTCCTATGCAAAAGAAGAAACACAGTCAATCTTCAACCTTAAGCAATATAATTGGTATAACAATTTACCATAATAGAATCACAATTGAACTAGAGAAAAACACATTTTGGAAACTTGAAATTAATAAAATTTCTTACACAATTGAAACCACTTTACACTATATTGACCCTGTTCATTAAACAATTTCATTGCAGTTATCAATGAAATAGACACCTTGTAAAGGAGCTAGCTTTTCTAGGTGATTTTGACAAAGTTGCTAACTAATCATATCAAGGTAGAGAAAAATAAATAGTATAATTATTATAATTAACCGAATCTGAATTTTACTTCAAAAAAGCTATGTTCAAAAGAGCCATCACTTTCAATCACAAAAATAATCTATATTATTAAAACTGCAAAAATGAAGATGTAGTGAGTATCCCTATAAATATGGAAAGGCCTCTGGCTATTACTCATCACACCAACCACATCTATTCATCTGGGTTTTAAATGAGGCGGACCCAGTAATTAGACCACCTGACTTTGTGAGACACATTCAATGCTTCTCATTTGCATTTTGATGAAATCTTTAAAATTTAATTGACATATTTCTCAAGACCTAATTAAAGTATATTTGCTGAATACTGAAAATAATATAATATAATATTACATAAATTAAATATTTGTCTATTTATTACATTTTCAATGATGTATGAAATTCTGACAAGAAACAGGCGAGAGAAAATTACAATTCAAACTTTTCAGGAAAAAAAGAAATTAATACGTGAATAATAATTTTTAGAAGAACAAATGTTTCTACAGATGAGGCTTAAAATTCTACAATCAACCTAGCATATACATAATGGTAAATCAGGCACTGTTCATAGTCTTTTAGCACAAAGCTTAATTGACAGCTCTTTGCTGAAAACCGGGCTGACAATTTACAAATTCTATTTCAGTCTTTTCTGTGCTTGACTTCAGAAGATCCACTTTACCCCTACTTTATCTTAATAAATTTTAAAGATATTCTTACTTTTATTCAAACACTATTATTGATTTAATATTTAATTTGAACAAAATAATAAAATGAAGAAAAGTCAAATTGGTTATGGGGATGAGATTTCCTGGTGTGTTTAATGACAATCAAAGAAGTACATTTGTAATCCCTGTATCCAATTTTAATTTAGATAATCTTATTGAAGAATCTAACTCATACACTTGTTTCTAATCACATTTACTGATTTGGTAAGATCAGATATGCGAAAGTTACTGTGCAGTCCACAATGAAGCTTGAACAGTTCATGGTACAATTTGTTGGTGGTTGCGGTTATGACTCAAAACTGAAGAAGCCCTAAAGCTAAATCAATTGAACACCACCATAAATAAATAAATGTCTCATTTTATCTGGAAAGAATTTAATAAACAGTGAGCTGTATAAACAAATGTATTATTTTTGGCTTGTTTACTTGTTTTGTTAAATGTTCACTAATTAAATAGCTCTGCCTGTGCAAATATTCTTCAGTTCATAAATCGTTTTATAGGAGAAAATAGCATCGCACTGGAACCCAACTTTGAATATCCAGGGTTTGAAACGTGTGATAAATTATTTAGGTCTGGGTTTGGGTAAACATTGTAACATTACTAAAAAAAAAATATGTAGACCCATGCAAATATAGATTGCAAATAATATCAATCGGTCAATTTGAAGGTACTTAGATTTTGAGTTCCTGCACATTTCTGACCACCTGTACTACAGAATAGGTATGCACAGAAAAGCTAAACCTTCAAAAATGTTTTAGATGTTACTAAAACAAATCATTTTGTACTACTGAAGAACTGAACTCATGCACTCTCCAGAATCCTAAATTTGAATTTTAAGGTCTGTGACCAGCAAAGTTTATTATGTAATCCTAGTTAGTTATTATTTAACATTTAAACATTATTATTTACTTAAGTTTCCTGGGGAGTCAAAATCACTTTCAATGCCTTCTGTGGCCCAAAATTGCATTTTAACAGTATGGTATGAAAATAAAGATATTTACCTATAGATATTAAAAAATTACATTTGTGTTAATGTGCAACGCCACTTAGAAATTTAACATCTATGAAATATCTTCTCTATAGGCAGAGAAACAGGTAAATTTGCTTTGGGTTGATGACATCTTTTAGTGTCATCTTATCAATGTTGATTCAAGATTTTTCCCCCTCCCCTCTTGTCATCTTGGTTACTCCTCCTCTCCAGGTAAGGAGAGGTTGTTCAGACATTTTTGCTCTTAGATGGAGAGAGGTGCTGATGATGCAGCATGGTGATAGGGTAATGGGAGAATGATAAAGAAGAAACAATAAAAAGAAAGATGGGCTGTAGACAAGCGACACAATAACTTGCTTTATCACCACAGTTGTTTTTCCCATGTTTTGTTTGGTCTCCAGTTCTTTGTCTTCACTCTGAAAGATTTTTACCCTGGTTTAAATAACTATCAACAATGTAATCAACACGTTCTAACAACATTAAGAGTTTTCTTCTTCATCCATTTTCTCTTTCCAAAATAGTAATGCAGTTGGGCAAATCTAAAGTAATGTAAATAGGAATGAAATCCAAATCCTTTTGTAACAGCAACCATAAGACAGATCTCCTTCTTTCAGTAATTTAACAATTGCATGAAAAATGTATTTTCAAAATGTATTCCTAATGAAGATTTCATTTTTCATCCAATGTCATCACTTTGTAATTGAAATTATGTAAATTTAGTATACAATGAAATTAAATTGAACTTGCAATAATGCCAAATGAAATTTGTCTAATCAAGCAGTTGCCTTATGCACTTATTTTAGGTGATGTATAAATAGTGCCTAATAGATATAAATAAATTAAAAAGTGGTAGTGTGAAGAGTTCAAGCCTCTAGTTTTTAAGCATTTGTTTAGTAGGCCTACTCTTTTGTAAGGAACTATAACTTTAGAAACTATCTTCCTACAAAAGGAATTTTTCAAGAATATAGTGAGCTCACTTTCATGAGAACAGGGCTTACTACTATTTCTACCTATATAATTACTTAGCTAGCATATAAGAGCTAATAAAGATATTTATTCACAGCACTACATCAAAATAAAAAATTTAATATTGTTGCTTGCACAATAGTCACATGCCTGAAAACAAACAAAAAAATTAAACAAATTACTGAATTGCTTACATATTTATCAGCTCAAACTAACCATTACCTCTTTATGTGCTTATTAATATTGTGCAAGATGATGCAATTGTTTCTGAACAATAAAAGATGTTTTCTTCGCTGAAGTATCTGGCCTCCCATTTGGTAAAATAAAAATATCCAGTTTTGGCTACATTAAATATCATATACATTATTTAACATGCAACAACAAAGGCACATTTTGCTTCTAAGAGCCAAAAGCCAACACTATATAAAAGCCAGGCAAAAATGATCCTATACCACAAAGACCTAGTTGCACCCAGTTGCCAATAGTAGCCCAGAAGAGCCTGGTCACTAGCTCATATGAGCTGGGTACACTCCCTGGCCAGAGACTTCAGCTCTGAAGACACCTTCTGCAACAATCGGTGCAAAGTCAGGATATCATATGCTGTGACTCCTGGAAAGAGGTACATGAGAAACATAATACTAGCTTACCTTTGTCTCAATCATTCTTGTTTCATTGTCTTGGAAGTGAAGCTTAAGTTTGCATTTTCCATCATCAGATGATCCTTTCAGTTGTGAGAATTTGTATTTCCATGAATAAGCCTTTCCTTCAGTATCATAAAGAGCAAATCCCATGTTCCAATCTAATGTCAGCCCAGCTGTTTTCCCATTGGAGGTGGTGACAGTAAACGTTTTACTCTGTTGAACAACAAAAACCAAGCACATAAAGTAGTACAACCAAAATATAAATTAACAAAATTGTTCACTTTCATTATTTTCTTTTCATGTTAATATTAGAAGTGTCTTTGCCTTCTGATAATTACCTTTAAATTACCAAAATCATTATTAATGGAAAGATGAAATACATGTTTTCCAGATAGGTTCATTGGAACATTATTTACACTTCATTAATTTACAGAAACATAATGCAATGAATTACACAGCAATACATTAGGAAAGGAGACAAGAGAATTGGTAAGAAAATGTTTAATAACTATTTCAAATGTCATAATAAATAATTAGAAATAGGAATTGTCTTTTAAATAAGAAATGGAATTGTGGTATGTACATTCAGAAGGATCTAAGTGCCAAATAATGATTTCTCAGTTAATTATTTAAATGGTTCTACATGTCCAGACCAACAGTTTTCAAAAAGAAAGCCTTGTGGTGTTCAAATTATCCCCTATATATAAGAAAATCTACAAGAAACCATGGACACAAAACACCATATGTGAGCAACTGTTAAAAAAGGAATTACCCATCAGTCCATCAAGCAGATTTAAGAAGAAAAATACTGCAGTTCATATAGAATGAAAGAGAGAAAAGAACAAGCGTACACAGTACGCTGCAACAAATGTTTCCAATGTGCATAACTTAGAAATTATACATCCCAGGTCCTAAAATCTAGGTTTTCATGTATATAGAAGGGTATTAACTTGCTATGTGTTAAACTATAAATTGATGCCTTTTTGAATGATGTAAGTTAATCTAATTTTGGAGGATGTCCCCACACCATACCATTAATTGAGTTGGCTTTCAGTATAAAGCTATTTTCGCTTTTAAAACAATTACAATATGTGAAATGTTTGCACATCCAACTAGTTCTAAATGAATGTCTAGAATTTTATACATGTTTTACCTTGTTTCCACAACCATGGCACTTGGGCCCTTATGGAACAATGCTTATGTTTCAATTCAAATTTCTAATAAGTAAACAAATATTAAATGCTACTGAACATAGGTGTGTGCACCAAAGAGGGCCAGGGGAGCTGTGATTCCCTGAAAATATACTCAATTCCTGATTTTTTCATTGAGTTGACTATTTGGAGAAATGATGGTGGCATTTCTGGAAGAGGCAACCCAGTAAGTGATTGAAGATATCATGCAATTGTATTTATTAATTGTACCATTTCAGGTACACTTTCCTTCTTCTTGCAGTATGTTTTATTTATTCACAAGTAACATGTGTCATATATAAATAGAAAAGTTTAATGGAAAAGGAAGCTCAAAGGGGCCCAGAAATGCGGTTTACCTCCTTCCCCCCTACTGCTTTCAAATTTTTGTTTTTGTTTTAGACTGCACACACCTATGCTATTAAATTGATGATATTGAACAACATATTCTTCTCTCTAATTTTGCTCAGTCCTTCTCTAAGTACATCAATGTTAGGAGAAAATTTGTCTGTAAGTTAGATCTACAGAATAAACAGGACAGAGAAACTTACCCCCAATTTCATGACAGCAGCACAAACAGAACAGTGCCATGCATTTTCTATCCTAAGTAATTCTTGACGAGTTTCAACTGAGAGGTATCTTGACTCATGACCAGAGGTTTGTATCAAAAAGCAATGTTGTCGCTCATCAACATTTTCTGAATCTTTAATTACACGGAACATAGTCTGGTAGACTTTGAAAACAAGACTACACTTTAACCAGTCCATAATATTCAGCTGAAACAAGGAATATTTCAAGTGATATCAAGTACAAGTAAAATTATTTTTAAACATTTGATGATGACAAATGCATTTGTAACTAGAGCTTGTCTATTTTACTTCTTTTAATCTTATGAATTGAACTGTAAGCATTTTAATCCAAAATTTGTGTCAGTTAAAAACATTTACTACTGAAAGAATTAGGTCCTTCATTTAACAGGGTATATATAATTTACTTTGAGTGTACGTTATTTACTATTTTAAGACAGATAAACTATATTATTTATTATAAAAAGGAAAAGGAAGTTTTATACTAGGTATTCAAAATGTAGTATTCTTATCCTGACAGCGTTTGAAAGTAATCTTGAAAACAATCCTTATTTCTATCACAAAAACATTTGAAGTTTGATAATTTAACAGCCATTTGTCTCATGAAAAACATGATCTACAAAACTCATTCTGCAGAGAAGGAACTATGCTAAGCCTCATGTGTAATTATGCTTAAGGAATATTTTCGTCCTATTTTCATTTCATTATAAAACCGATGCTGAAGTATGAATATTTTTGTCCTATTCTCATTTCATTATAAAACCGATGCTGAAGTCTCGCCACGTAAAATAAGGCAAATTCAATTCAATTCAATTCAAAGTAAAACTCTAATTTTCTTTCTAAAATAAAAATTTGTCTGCATGGATGGATTTGTTGGGCATAATTCAGTTAAACTGCAAGCTTTTGAACTGAAACTTAGTAAATACATCAGGTGTATCATTATCTACCTATCTGATGGAGATCCTTCAGATATTTTAATTCTATTTAGTACTTTACATGAAGCCTCTGCAACATTTTCAAAATGTTCTGGAAAATGACTGCAAATGTTTTCTTTAATTTTTTTCTTGAATAGGGGGAAAAGGAATTACATATATGTGGTACAGTTATATTTTTCATTCAAATCTCTGAAATTTTGAAAATTGCCAAAGTTTGAATTGATTTTTTAACCGATCTTATACCTCCAATATTAAAACTACATATTTCTTTCTCAATAGAATTTATCCCTCAATTTTAGATTTTAAATGAAGTCGTGCAAAATTTACAAAAATTCGCAGTTATTGAGTAAATTTGTCAGACATTGTGATATTTTTCCATAAATATGTAAAGATTAATTTATCAAAAACAACTCTTCCATCTTACATAAAACTTCTTGCTGAGATTGAACACAATACACTGAATTATATTTTCAAAAGTTACACTTTTTAAATTTTTTTGTATGCCTTGTCAATAGTCATATTTACAATACAGATGTTTATATATTTATATGTGAATAAAAATATTACAAATAACTTTCAGTAAACTTTCCTGAAATATTACATTCTTCCGAGTGCAAGAATGCTTAATGTTGTTTATTTCCTAAAACAACCAAATAACATTTTCTCAAAAACTTTTTGAAATGTTTTCTTGAATTTCTTATTTATAACGGTTTTGCTCTTCAATGATATTCCTAAAGCCTCATTTTAATTGAAGTGGATCCCAAAAAAAAGAAAGAAAACATGCAAAAATTAAGTAATATTTTATTTTCTAAATTAATTATTTAAATATCAATTTTAGTACAGTTAAAATTACTCCAACATATTAAAAAAAATCTCTAAATTTAGCATTTGTTCAACATTCAATGTTATAGAAAATGGGTAAATATTTTTCTACATATTTTGTTAACTTCAATTACAATTTTCATAATAATATTTATTAAAATTAACAGTTAATATTAGATTTGAAACTTTTGTTTTTTGAATGTTATTTCTATGAATTTTTTTTAAAGAATCCATATAAGAGTAAGGGAGAGAAGAGTGAAATTATCATGTAGCGAGGAATCTTTGCAATTTGTAGTAGTAAGTACAGTGCTAGCTCATGGCTAGCTCTTGGTAAGCGTTATGCAGCGTTACACTCCAGGTTCGATTCCCGGTTGATCCAAGACAATAGTGTGTGTTTTCCTTGAAATGTCACAGTACACATTGCTGTGTGATGATGAGAAATGATTCGAGAGAAGAATGAGTTGAAAAGACCGGAATACGGTGTGGGGATGTCTACGTGCTAACCACACATACCCCCTTAACCCATGGCCACGAGGCAAGGACGTTGCCTGTAGGCCTGAGCCCCTTCATGGGCTGTCATACATACATACAAGTACAGTGTTAAATTATATTTTAGATTATAAAAATATTTTTGGTGTATTTGTAAACTATATTGCAGATTTATAAGAGTATACTGTTGTTGGAATTGCATTATTTGTCCTTTATTGCAATGTATTACATTGAAATGACTGTTCTTAGCCATGCTATTTAAAATGAATTTTCCGAAACTATTCAAATATAAGAGTTAACTGTAATGCGTTTTTGGATGAATAAATTCACACATGACAGATTTTTGAAGAAATATAAGAGAAGGCAATATCAGTACAAAGATCTTATGGGCTTGTGGCTTGACTGTGCCCTACAGACGTAGAGAAATTAAGTAGAAGCTTTTATTCCACCTTCATGCCACCAGCCACGCAACATGCTCTGAATTGTTAATAGCATGTGTCGTATTTGTAAGCTTTTATTTTAGGGAAGATATCATTGTAAATGATATGATTGTTTGACATTGCAGTTGTAACAAAATTTAATTTTTTGTTTATCTCTGCATTGCGTGAATTTTGATTTACTTTATTCAATACGTCTGATTTACTTTATTCAATAAGATTTACTTCATTCAATAAGTCCGATTTACTTTATTCAATAAGATTTACTTTATTCAATAATTCTTATGAACATTCTTGAATTGTTTTTTGGAGGTTTCTATAAATCCCGATCCACCCCTACTCCTACAGTCTCCTGGTGTTGATGGTAAAACCATGCAAAAATTAGCGATCAGAGCAGCCGACCACTAGAATTCTCCCCCATATAGCGGCTGAATTCGACCTAGCCTAAGTAGCTACTGTCGAAATTCTGCCACCGGCGAGACTCGAACCCTATGACTTCCAGGGCGGAAACGCTGCAGAAACATCAGCTGATGCCCTGAGCCACCTCAACCGGTTTTACTTCTTGGGTGTAGTTTTACTTTTAACTACTAGCAAAAGACTGATTTGTAAAAACTTACTGGAGGGGAATCAAATAGGAGAACATCTGTTCCTTTCAGTGTCAAGAATCTAGGCTTATAATTTTGCCATGGTTGGTTATTATTCAATATTCCTTCATTTACCCAGCCCATGTACTCAATTCGCTCTGCCGCCGTGAAATTTCTGTTGTACAGCTTCATCTGTGAAAAACCAAGAATACCATCGTATACTTTGTATGCAAGTTTATTACTTTCATATCCGAAATCATGTTAATTTAATGCATTTATAAAGTGTTACCTGAAGATTTGTTAATCCTACAATATTGTCAGTAATGTACTTGAGCCACTGGGAGAGAATAGCAGCATCGTCACAATGAATAATGCCTGTGCTTACTCCATTCAGGCCTCGCACTTCAAATGAGTTTGGTCTCAGCTTATCAGTTCCGAAGATGTAACGGGTAACATAGGCCATCATCAAGGGCACTAGAAGAGAGAAATATTTTTAACAGAATGCCTTCGTACAAAACATTAAATTCTTTCAAATGCACTCAGTTTGGCAATTAAAATAAAACCATCTCGGTTAAGATTTTGGTATTTTTTGTCTTATAAGTGTATTCGCAATTCTTTTTATCATTTTCAATTCAAATACATGAGAAACAATTTGAAAGAAAAAAATGAAAAACATGCGTTATTCATGCAATTCTATAACATTCATTGTGTTCCTTCAAAAAAATTTGTTTAGATTTTCCTTACCGTGAATATTGTTTTAATTTACTGTCATGTGTTGCATATTAGATTAATTAGATGTTATTTATTGGACGTGTTTATTGTTTATGTTTTTGCTACTGAGTCCTCTGTAAGACTTCTCGTTCTGCAATTAGTTTGCTTGCAAGCGCATCACAGTCATGTAATTGAATGTTTTGAACAATAAAATGATAGTTCAGTATTTAAAATGCAAGGGTGTCCTCGTTGGAAAACATTGTGTCAAGGATTCAAAGTTTAACGATTAACATTAACGATTCATAAAATTATTTCATGTGCCAAACGTTTTGTTTGTGTACCATTATAAGCGAGCTTTGAAATCGATATTCCTTAGTCGATCAGGCTATTGTGGTGGACATGAGATCTGCACCATTCTCTTACACGTCCTTCATACTATTCAACAACAAAATTTAGTCAAACACGTTGGAGATCTTTTAATTTTAAAAATGTCCCAGGTGTTTCACGTAAAGTACTCTCCAAAATTAGCCAGCCACGATATTAGCCAAATCATTTGGGGAATATCAATTTTGTAGATAATCCAATTTTGCCATCAATGGATTTTTCAGTATCAAGGCTGCACAAAACAAGGATTCCCCCTCTAAATATAGCAACTGGATTTATCTACTTTTCCGTTATCAGGGCCCGGCTATAAGAGTTTTTCTGCCAAAAATTCGTCGCTTTTGTAATAGGTCTCTGTGACGGGCGGAGCGCTCTTTTAACAATCTTCGTCTATTATACCTCCCAACTGAGCGAAGGAAGTTAATAATTACAGGAGATACGATCACGAAACCAAGGCCTTTTCGATCCAAAATTTTTAATTTTACTCTCAACTGACAATTTCAAATACTACTGATGTATTTCAATGTATCATTTTCTTTGCGCTAGTAAAGGAAATGGGAATTAATAACGCTTTTGAGGTAGAAACTGCCAACTGGCTTCCCTAAAGAGGTCTCCAAAGACGTACCACCCATCCGGCACTTTGTACAGCTCTTCCTTTTAAAGCACGCGCCAGTTGCTCTGGGCGCAGAGTGGAAAGCTGGTGGCCTCGTCCGCGACTTGGACGTGCGCGGTCTGAAACGCCGGTCTGCGTGCGGCTCTTGGGCGCAGAGAGACAGGCCCCCACACACGCTCATGCATCCCCGCATTGAGGAAAGGCTTCAATTTGCACAACAGTATTGGGCTGTCACTTTTAGCACTCGTATCACAACTAATCTCCGAATCTAGCAATTGTTGAATGGATATTCTCCCCTTCTTATAAATGCCGGATGTGGGGTGAACATAAGCGCGTGCTTTTAGGGGCAAGGGGAGGCTGAAGATCTCCAGGCCCGGCCCTTCTCCGCTGGCCCGCTTTTTATTTTTATTGTTAAATTTATTGCTACTTGCTCGCCATTGCGGAAATTTCAAGGTTGTTGATACATAAGTACTTCACTTAGGAGATAATCATATGGCTAAACTAATCCACTTTCATTTAGTGATGTTCATTTCAAGAGATATTTAGATTCAAAATTGAATCAAAATTGATTCAAGGTGTTGTATGGTTGTAATAGTTCTAGTATTTACCTACTTGGGTTCGAAAACATCTTTCGGGTGTCATGAAATTATTCTGCAAGCTTGCAAGGGCCTGTAGTTAGTACGATTTGATGGCAGGTGCGTCGGCTAGTGTTTCATAGACGTTTTTGGATGTTTTTAATGTGTAGTCGTGGAGTAGTTCGATTTTTAGCGCTCTGTGTAATTGTTGTTTTACAATGAACCATGGGGTTTGGTAATTATTCTAAGACATTTAATTTGGATTATTTGTAACATGCTAATATGGCAGTGTGCTGCTTTTGCCCACACGGGGCATGTGTAATTTAGTGATGGTCTTATTACTGACTAGCGCACGGTTTTCCCACATTGTATACCAAGAGATGATTTGTGCTTTAATTCTAATAAATATATTTATCTCAGTTATCTTGTTTATTTAACTGAAACGGTTTTTTGACCTTCGTATAACAGATTAAGTAGTATTTTTTCACAATTTATTTCTTTTTTTGACGTTTCAATAAACGTGGACCAAGGATTCTTGAAAAAAGACCCCAAAGGGGGTCAACCCGCCCTAAAAAGAAATGAATTGTTCCCCGAAGCATGCTCGCACCTGTGATGACGTCGACCCAGCGGCGCTGCGCGGTGGGCGCGGGCGAGTGCGCGCCGGAGCCGGAGCCGGAGCCGGAGCCGGGGCGCGAGTTGCAGGGCGACCGCCAGCCGTCCTCCGCGCGCAGCTGCCTCGCGCCGTCGTTGTCCAGGTGGAGCTCTTCGCGCTGCACTGCGAACGAACAGCTCCTTACTCCCCCTGCGCGCGGCCTTCGTCGCTCAGGAGCAGTCGGTCGCCACCTGGCCCACTCACCCGCTCGCTCGCTCAGAGGCCACAAATAGTAAAGTTCTTTATCGTAAGGAAATGGATGAAAAGACATCAATCCTTGACGAAAAAACAAATCGTCTGTTACGGTTGTTATGATTCCTGCAATGGGTGCCCACAGAAAGACAGAAGAGAGGAAGACCCAGACTTGCATAGTAGGGGGAGTGCAAGAGGCTATGACGGCAAGAGAAATGCAAGATGATCTATGGTCAAATAGAGAGGCATGGAGACTGGGAGCGGAGATGTGGCGACAGCTGTAGAGAAACTTCGTACTATTTACACATCGTAACGAATCGAATCCGACGTCGCCAGCGCAAGCGAAGAAAGTGCGCGTGCGTGGGTGCGTGCGTGTGTGTGAGGGTGGGGGTGATGAAGGCATTTTCTGTTTCGTAGTTCAAAACGGACGGAGCTCGTCATGATCTTCGGCACGCGTGGAGAAGCTTTAAGCGCTCGCCAAAAAAGTAACTTGCAATAAAATGCGTTGGGCAGGATTGAAGGAGATTTTATGCTAATCCCATAGGTGGAATGCCGGTGTTTAGTCACGAAAGTTTTAAACACGACGCCTTTGGGTTTGAGGGACCGTGTTCGCCACATTCTCGCGGAGGCCAGTTCCTTCACATTCGTTACGAGCAGATCCACAATTAAAGACAAAGTCACGGTTATTCGAGAGTTCAAAATAGGGTTTTATAGATTCTTTAATTAAAATACTTCGGTAACGCTCGAACCGATAATCGAATTGCATAATTTGCGGAGAGGGGATGGCGACAACAAAACAAGTTCATCTTTGATATGATTTCTTCAGTCTTCGGCCCGTTATTTGTGCTTGTGCAGTCTCCGGAAAACTATGGGGGGCATAAACAACGATAATGACGAAGAATGATAGTAGTCGCGGTGAATGACAATAATGTGCATGAATGCCCCATTGAGCTTGCGGAGTTGTGTACGACCTGGGAAACTGTGAGGACTCGTAATGGACAAGCGCTCCATTTTTTAATTATTTCTTTTTAACAAGGAAGTAGCCAACTTGTGTTTCCGACCTAGATAGTCAAGGTCGCTTAGGCTGAACGACCGTAGCTGCCTCGGCTCGAAGGGTCGCGTGTTCGAACCCCGCCTTGGGTATGGGTGTTAGTGTGTATTTGTGTTGCCTTACGTGATCTCCACACAGTTCCCCATTCAGTTCAAAATCACAGTGGTCGCTGAATGACTGTTGAAAAGCGACCTTAAAAAAATGTATAAAATGGTGTCATCCGTTCTGGATTCCAGTACCGAGGATGGGGTATTGAAGATGCAATAAAAACTAAATACTTACGACTTTTCTGGAGGAAAGGTGTGGCGGCGCGGTAATGCTTTACTGTTAGCATTACTATGTCGCCCGCGTTGCGAAGGATGTTGACAGCGTCATCATGGTTACATCTTGTTATATATTCGCCGTTTACTGTAACAAAAGGTACAAATTAGTGGGTGGACAAAAATAATATGGGTCATCTGAAAGTTGAAATGAGATATGAGAAAACGTACGATTTAATGATGGGCGTACCATTTTGATCTGGTTTCGTTTAATTAAGAACGCTTTTTCGAATGTTCCAGGCACTTTTCATTTCAAATTGGAAATTTACATAATAGAATTTCATTTTCTGGCTTATTCAACCACAGAAGGTTACAGTTTGAGGTCAAATAAAATCTAAGTTTGTGAAGCGAGTTGGTAACTAAACTTTGTTTCACCGATTACTAATAAGTAATATTTATTAAAATTATAAACGCAATTGTGTGTTTTATTTACAAAACTTTTATTGACATAATTGCAAAACATTCTTTTAAATATTACTTCTTGTAATTTTAAAACGATGTTTGTACACAACACTGAAATACTATCTTCAACGTTTCTCTTTAGATCTATTAATAACACGTATGATTTTAGAATATTTGGTTGGAGTACGGCGTATAGAAGTTACAGATATCGCTAAATTTTCCGTATTTCTGAAATTAACAGTATTTAAAAATTAACAAAGGATTAAAAATACTCTTTGAAATTCAAAAATAGCAATAAACAAAATGTAACGCTAATAAAAGACCGACCATGATTGACACTTCATACTAGAATATGGGCTGGTACCTTCTTTTAAAACATACTACGTTGTTAAAAGCTGAATTTTCTGTATTGTGGCCTTCCATTTTCTCAAGCTTCTATTTTCTTAAGCTCGTGTTGAAGTAAACGACAAACAAGATAATACTTAATCTCATTTCTTGTGCACAATTTTCCCAAACGTTCATCCTTTTTTCTTAAAGAAACTGACCTCCCCCCCCTCCGCAGCAAGCAAAGCGCTGACCTTTGACGATGGCGTCCCCAACAAAGAGCTCGCCCGTCTGGTCGGCGGCCTGGTCCTTGAAGATGCGCGAGATGAGGATGGGCAGCTTGTGCTCGGCGCCGCCCTTGATGCTCAGCCCCAGGCCGCCCACCTTCTGCCGCACCACCTTCACGATGCGCTCCTGCCGACAGCCACGCCCACGCCCCGCGTCAGCGTCCCGCACCAAAGCATTGCAAACAGAAGGTTAAAAAATGAATTTTCTACTTGCTCAAACACAATTACAAGAACTAAATATTCTTGATTCACATCGTGGATGCATGGTCACATCGTGGACGGTATTTACTGTCCCGGAGGTATTTGCTACGTAGCTAAATAAAAAAAAATTGTGACGGAATTAAGTCGTGAAAGTTAGGATGCAGCTCTCCACGACTCACTTCTTTAGTAATTTCGTTTCCATGTTATGGTAACAGAAGCAAAGTATTAGCAAAAATGAGGTGGGATCGTTTTTTGAGACCACATTCAGTGAGTGACTATTTATATGTTAGATTCGTAGGATAGACATAAAATTCAAAAGTAGAATTATACAATTCATATTCATTTTGAGTTTTAAATGTTTGTAAATTGTAGAAAATAACTTAATATTGTACAAAACTGTACTTTACAGTGCAGTCGCAAGCACTACAAATTGACAGGATGCTATTTATTTGTGAATTGGATTTTACAAGTTCATGCAACAATTTTCTAAACTTCAAATTGGTATTTTTCTTTATTTCGATGTTTTTTTCGAAACAATAACTACAAGACATTGTGAAATAATTGTGTGTAGACTTTGTAACAAAATTGCAATATGATAATTTTGAATGAACTTGGTGCAAATTATTCATCAAAGTGTATATTTATGACAAGAAATTAATTTTGTAGAGCGCTGCAATGAATGATCTATCAAGTTCCGATAATTGTATTCATTATCTTACATCCAGGCACGATTGTGATTATATGTGAACATAAATTTTTTGCGTCTAAAGAAAGCAGCTATTTGAGTGACTTCTCAACACAGTCAACGTGCTATGTACCATCTAATTCTTTTTACACACCGTGGGTGCAACGTGTGTGATGTGGTTTCAATATGCAATTCAAAGGCCTTGATGAAACAATGTTAACGAGCATACAGCGCATTATCTCGTGGCTTAGATTATTGACATTAATCACGTTCATCTTCTATCTTTCAGAAGTCAATTAGATTTGCTAATAACGAAAAAGTAATGCCGACATAAAAGTGATGTAAGCTTTACGATAAACTAAGTTGCTAAAGATAAACTAAGTTGCCAAAACATGCCACAAATTCACAGATGACTGTACTTTGAGTAATGACATTTATGCATCTCACGAGCAACACAAGTCGCCGTTTTGCGGGATTTGACAGCTGTATGCAAAGCACGTAGGCATGTAACTCCCCAAAGCTTTCGAATTCCACTCCATCTACTGGGGAGGTTTGAAGAGCAGAGGCATTTCTAGTGGACTTGTGGCGCATTCTAGTGAGCTTCTAGTGCATTCCTCGAGGTTCGTCGTGACCTCTTCTCTTTGAGGGCACCTCACCGGACACTTCGGTGCATAAACGCGCAAAATCAGTTCGCACGTACCGAGGTGCTTCAGACTCGCGATGTCCGGCGACAGGTTGAATCACGCAATCCACATCGCGCTTCCTTGTGTTGTCTTCACTAATTTCGTCTTTACACACCTCTTCAAGCACATTCCCACACACGTCGAGTACATCTCTTAAAACTTAATAATCATGAAAATCATAGTATTGTTTATCCCCTAGTTTGTATGTGTTTGTGAAGATAAACGTTTTTAATAATAAATTTGCCCCGACAGTGGCAGGATTTTCGACACAAGTCAGATAGCTGAGTCGAGTACTGTCGCTGTCAGGAGGAGAATTCTAGCGGCCGGCTGCTCTGATGGGTGGTTTACCGTGGTGAATGTAGCGGGATCAATACCAGGTGGATGTAGCGGCAGTACCCTAACAAACTGGTCACGGGCCGCGTGCGCTCTTTCCTTCCCATTCCTTGTCTTATCCTACTCCTTACGCACTTACACCTACGTGCACTGCACTACCCACTCGCCGCGAGCTTAGCTTAGGGCTTGGCCCGGCTGGTGGTGATACCTGGTCAGGGAAAATCCAGCTAGCCGCCGGATCTCGCCCTCACGCGGGGAAATACCACCATCACCACCACCTCCCGACGCAAACATGCCCTTCACTTACGGGAATAATGACCTTAGCTGATGACGCACCTGGAACCACTAGTAATCAATCAACCATTTTTACAAGAAGTCTAAATGGTGAATTTAATTCAATTTTTCGTCCCGAATTCAGGTCCGAGACCCGGGAATGTCACGGGCTGCGGTTCCCGAGGCGCCCGCCCGCCCGAGCATTTAGTGCGTCCGGGCGCGTCAACAACTCCGCGCCTTAGCCCCGCGAGAAGCGAGGCGTATTCAGGCGCGCGGCGCCGCCCCCCCCCGCTCCCCGCTGGAACACGACGTGTCACCCGATCAACGGGGTTTCTCCCTTCCACGAATCTCCCCCAGCGGGGAACCGCCCGATCTGGGACAAGCTCTAAGCTCCTGAATGGTCTCCCCTCATAAGTTACAGTGTCGATCAATGTGTAGTTGTAGTGTGTTTGTGTGTGTGTGTGTGTTTAAGGGAAGAGGAGGGTCTAGGATAAGGAAGGGAAGACTGGGCGCGGATCGTGACCCTTTTGTTAGGATACTTCGGCATTCGCCTGGTATTGAATGAAAAAACACGGAAAACTTTCGAGCAGCCGGCCACTAAAATTCTCTTCCAGAGAGTGTCTGCATTTGACGTAGCTCCAGGACTTAATGTCAAAAATCAGCCACCGTCGGGATCTGACCCTAGGACCTCTCGGTCAGAAGCATTCGGCAAAGGATGTTGGCCCTGGCCTGCCTCCTCCGGTTTGACAAATCAGTGCGGGTGTGAATCGCAACATAAAATCCGGCGCCATCGTGTGGCGGCTCTCGCTTTCCTCTCCGACGTGCGGCGTGGTCGAGCCACTGCCCGTCGCCACAAATGGCAATTGCCACTTACAATAATACGACGCCTCTGATGAAGATGCGCTGAGACACCTCAGCTAAGTGCATCGGTAAGCATTAGACTAATAAATTCTCTCTACAGATTTAGAGTTGTGTGAGTGATTTCCACCGCCATCAATATTGCGCGCCGTCCAATACCCTACTACCTCAAAATACTGTTGCTTTAATGTGTGTTCCAAGAGCGAATTATTCTAACGAAGAATTTCATGGATTCCGAGTTTTCCTTATAGAGCCTCCAATGACAATCTGCCGCCTGTCAGCGGTATGGAGTCTGACAGCAATCCATTCCGATGATTTCGCGTGCGATTGCTGTTACTCGTGAAGTGCTCCGCATTTCGAGGGCGCTTCTGTCCCTTGACAACGAACGCTCATCGTCCGCGCTCCACCGACCGCTCGCGTCGGTGCCGCGGCAGCGCCTCTACTCTCCGGCCCAATCCACGGGCGCGGGTGGGCGCACGCAAACCCCAACTGCACGCGTGTGCGTCGCAGCGGCAGCGGCAGCAGCAGCCTTGCGATAGGGAGCGGCAGAGAGCCTCGCGATTGCCGCTGCTTTGTAGCGCTCTAATCTGCTTATTCGCGTCTGTGGAAGCGCGTCAGGTGCTCCGGCAAACACAGCAGCCACCGCCGCCGCCTCCATTGCCCGTCCCGTCGCTCCGCGCCACCCGTCACCATGCTAT